ATACTTAAGTATTGAATCAATAGACCGAAAATCGAGGTTATTTGGACATGAGACATTATATTTAAAAGGATACTACCAAACCGACCATCAAACGCACTGCCCACAAAAGCAGACACGTCCCCTCGAAAATGCAATCGAGAAATGTACAAGAACAATCCTCAACTGGAACGTACTCACCAAATTAATATTTCCGGGAGCGCATTCCCGATGTCGTCGAACGGCAAAAAAAGGTAACTCGGTGAGCAAATTTGTGATACGGAATTTTGACTGAATTTTCACTGAAAACAACCACGAATTTCACCACACCCAACTGCGAAACACGTTCAGAAGCACTTTTGGTACACTCGCGATGCCACAAATTTCTGGTCCGGGAGAAACAATCAAACCACGCAGCGCCAAATCTTCTGATGCTTGCAATTTTGCAAACATGATGAATCATGTTTCTTTCTCGATTCTAAAACTTCTCGGAAAGCGAGAAAACCACCACTTACACACGTATAACCGTCCGGAAGGCAGAGTGCCAGCGCTAATCCGGCAAATGCAGCAGAAAACTATGAAAGCGAAGGCACGCACAAAACAGAGAACAAACACAACGAACTGAACGTGTGTTCAAGGTTGTCATGAAAGGTCTAACCAGTGGTGAATCCCTGGATAAGATCAAAGATGAACTGGCAAAATTACTTGGAGTTATGCCAGTCCAAGTAATCAAAATGAAAATGAAATCCCGTCCTGGTGGTTCACGCAACGGGATTTCCAATGATTTTTATTTAGTTCACTTCAAGTCTAGTGAAATAAGCAACCTTAAGGCCTAAGAAAAAGCTAGCCTTATGTTCCATGTCCGAGTGAAGTGGAAACACTTCAGGAAGACTGAAGGAAATTTCCAAAGCCTCACCCAGGGGTCACGGAACAAAAAATTGCTACATGCCAGCTATATGCATGATTTGTGGTGATTCCTCTCACGCAAAGGACGACTGTTAGGGAAAATTTAAAATTAAATGTTTTTAATTAACTTGTCCAATTTTTGGGAATGTAAGACTTGCAAAGCGATCCTAAAATATATTTGTCTTCTTCTTTTGTTTATTATAGAGACCTTCAGCCTTTAGCTGGTTCGGCTATTTCCCTACAATCTCGTTCTAAGCGACAGGTAGGAAACGCTCCACGCTCCCGAACAGGTACAAATTCCTCTAATGTTAACAACGGTCATCGAGGAACAAATTCTACATTCGTATCCGTAGGTACAAATATCACCCCTGCTTCAAATTCTTCATCTATACCTGCTCCTCTCGCTGCTAACAATGTTCAGCGAGTAACTAGAGCTACCTATGCTGCAATTGCACCGGGTAAAAATCAAAATACTAGCCACCATGATTCTAACGGAAATTTGGATAATTTTGACTCAGGAAGCATTACTGCTCCTAAAATGGATTTTTTACAGAAATCATTAATGGACATGATTACTGATATACCTACTATTCAAACTGGAGTAAAATTTGCAAACAATATAGTCATGACTTTGAAATTCAGTAATGAATTTTAAATCTTAAAATATTTTAAATTGGAATGCTCGATCTCTTAAAGATAATGAAGACGAGCTATTTAACTTTTTGAGAGTTTATAACGTGCATATTGCCGTAATAACTGAAACGTTCCTTAAACATGACCATAAGGTTAAAAAGGACGCAAATTATTTCATTTATCGAAATGATCGTCTTGATGGACCCTGTGGTGGCGTTGTTATCATTGTTCATAGACGAATCAAATTCATTTTGACTAAAACAATGTTTTAAGAAATTATGGAATAATAAGATACTATGAACATATTTTGTTTATGTAAACAACAAGAAAAGATTGTTAAGTTTGTGTTTGACACATAATACCTGCCAATTTTGCTACATGAGAGTCGCAATAAGCGATTTTGTAATTTATCTCACCCACTCTTCGCTCTTCACTCTTCGCGAAGAGGCAATCAGAAAAACGCTCATTGTGACTCTGTCAAAGCTAAATTTGCAGGTTTGATGTGTGAAACACAAACTTTACAATCTTTTCTTATTACTTACACATACAAAATATCATCATAACAGGCATAACATTTGATAACGGCACAAAAGCATTTATAAACAAACTTTCTAAGGCCCTTTACACGCGAACCAAAGTACGCCCCATGCAAACCAATACCACTTTCGGAAAGGTGATAGTTGCCTCTATCCGATGATGTTGTTGGTTTGTGTGGGCGTACTTTGGTTCGCGTGTAAAGGGCCTTAGAAAGTTTGTTTACAAATGCTTTTGTGCCGTTATCAAATGTTATGCCTGAACTTACATTTACAGCTGCCTAATGCGTAGGCCAGCAAAAGAATGTTCTCAAGGGTGACCTTCTGAAAATTATTATTCATTATTAGTGATTTTAATGCTTTTCGTCAGCAAGAAATCCTTCAACTATTGATTTGGTCTTAACTGATTCATGTCAACTTGGTAGCCAATTGGTTACCCATGCTGACTTCGGTTCTGATCACCTTCCAGTACCTTTTGAAATATCCCAAGAAATAATTTCTAATCCCAACAGCTGTACTTTCAATTACCATAGAGCTGATTGGGAGCAATATCGAACATTTATGGAATATAACTTCGATCCAAACATTCCTTTGCAAACCAAAGATGAAATTAATTATGCTCTTGAATCTCTGACTACTTCTATAGTTGAAGCAAGAGCTGCCTCAGTTCCAAAATGCGAGGTTAAATTCGATTCAATTATAATAGACGACGATCTTCAGCTCTTGATCCGTCTTAAAAATGTCCGTAGGAGACAATATCAAAGAACACGCGATCCTGCCATGAAAGTTATCTGGCGGGATTTGCAAAAACAAATTAAAAAGCGATTCTCTGCCCTGAGGAACAAAACTTTTGAAAATAATGTTTCTAAATCCAAACCCTTCTGGAAACTCACAAAAATTTTGAAAAAAAAACTAAAAAGCCTATTCCAGCGCTTTAAGAAGGTGGTTTAATTTTGATCACAAATCCGGAAAATGCTATGAAACTTACTAAGCAATTCGAGAGTTCCCATAATTTCAGTTTGGTTCTTACTAGCCCTATTGAGAATCAGGTTGCTCGGGATTTTCTGAATATTTTCTCTCGGAAAAATATTTTTGATGATTCCTGGGGGACTGATTTGGACGAAGTAAGATCTACAATTAAAAAGTTTCATAATATGAAAGCTCTAGGTGATGATGGAAATTTTGATATCATCAAAAAACTCTTAAGAGAATACCTTGTCTTTCTTGGTAAAATTATGTAACAGATGTTTCCATTTGGCATACTTTCCTGCTAAATGGAAAAAAAATGCAAAAGTTGTTCCAATTTTGAAGCCGGATAAAAATCCAGTTGAAGCTTCTAGCTACCGTCCAATAAGTTTACTTTCTTCAATAAGTAAACTTTTTGAAAAGATAGTTTTAAATAGAATGATGCTTCACATCAATACGAACTCAATTTTTGCTGATGGGCAGTTTGGATTTCGCCATGGGAATTCAACTAATCAACTCATAAGAGTTACCAATTTAGTTCGTTCAAACAAATCTGAAGGCTGCTCAACTGGAGTTGCTCTTCTAGACATAGAAAATGCATTCGACAGTGTTTGGCATAAAGGTTTGATTGCTAAATTAAAAAAAAAAAAGTTTAATTTTCCACTCTATAGGGTAGAGCATTACTTCGTCGTAATCGCCCATTTCCGTTCTATCGATCATAAAAGATAAATAATATCAATGATTTCACCGTGCCCAAATCACAAATAGGTTTGTTCTGATGCGTTAGTTCATTAGCTACAACATAAATCCTATTAGAGCGCATTGTATGGATATTTACACTCATTGTTCTCAAAACAAATGAAGCGCTTCTAGAGAATCCCCTTTTTCTACGTTTATCCGTAGGACGAAGAAAATCTAATGGCGTTTCAATGCGTTAGGACGGAATTGAAACTCGTAGAACGAATTTAGAATCAAGTAGCATTGTTAGATTTTTAACAATATCTCAACAATTTGTGACTCTTTATCAAATCCAACAGAACGTATGGAAAGGTGAATAGATTTATCAGTAATTTTCACAGAAATATTCCGATTTTTGTTCAAACCCGTTCAAAAATAGGGGTTAAGCGCGGGTTGTGCTTAGTAGGACGGAAATTAGATCAAAAACCTTATTATTAAATTAGTTCAAAATTATTCTCTGCAGGTAAATTATCAAAATTCCAAATATGAAGGGTAGCATTCTTGGGCCTTTATTGTATACATTTGTACATTTTCACTTCGGACCTCCCTGGTTTGCCTCAGGGTTGCCACAAATCTTTGTTCGTCGATGACACAGGTATTTCTGCTAAAGGAAGAAGTCTTCGTGTCATTTGTAGCAGTCTGCAGAAAAGTGTAGATATTTTCTCTTCTTATTTACAAAAATAGAAGATTTCTCTCAATGCTTCCAAAACTCAACTTAAAATATTTCCACAGAAGCCTAGAGCTTCCCTTTTTGAAACTTAGTAGTAGTCACATAGTCACTATGAACGAAGTTCCAATTTCTTGATCAAACCAAGTGAAATATCTTGGATTAATACTTGACCAAAAATTTATTTTAAATATCACATTGAGGGCATTCAAGCATAATGTAATAAATATATAAAATGTTTGTATCTTCTTAGTATTTATAAACAGGGAATCCAAACTTTGCCTGACGAATAAACTTCTAATATTTAAACAAGTCTAAATGTCATGCTTTACGCTGTGCCAATATGGTCTGGTTGTTGCTCTACCACGAAAAAAGCACTTCAAAGGATTCAGTACAAAGTTCTGAAGATGATTGTGAAGTTGCCATGTGTATATGCTTACGATTTCGCATAGTGAATACCCCTATTGTGTTAGATATTTGTATTTAAGTAAACAACCTGTTTATATTAAAGGTGACGTGATGTAGTCAGTAATGTATCTTTCTTACGCTTTAATTAATTTTTTTTCTCGTCTATTTCACAGAACGTAATATTTATTAATCAAGAGTTGGCTGCTCGCCAGCTGGCAGTGTGGGAGGAATAGACATGCAACAGTGTTCTTCGATAGAAACCTCAATGGCTGATTATTGAATAAGTAGTAAACAATGAATGAATCGTATAAACAAACATACAAAAACCTTATTGAAATTCTTGAGAGGATAAGCATTAGTGTGCTGTTGAAGTAATTATGTAATTACATATTGCTAGCTGTACAAAAAGGAACAACTGCAACAACATGTCAAATGCTTATAGTTACATATTGAGTGCTCGCTAGAGGAAACCCCTATGAGTGCTCGTCAAGATATGATTCAACTATGTACATCTGCGTAATGAGAGAAAAAGGATTACTAAATGCATAAAACAAAAAACACAAAAACAGAAGAAATACAGAGCAATCTTATTCCAGCAAGGAGTTTCGAAAAGCAAAGTTTCAAACTAGCATATAGGTTTTAAGAGAACATGTACTGATTTGTTAGGAATACACCATACGATAACTTTTATTTTCATGTTTTTATCGTTTATCTTTTCATTAATCAAAAATTAGAAAAAAATCGGTTTGTTTTTTTTTAACAACTTAAGAGGTAATAGTACATTTGATTCCTTCTATTAACTATGACACGCGAACTCAGGCAATAAGGTTTTATATAGCTTCAATACTCGTCACACTCGATAGGCTCACCAACGTAGCAGACATGTCAGGTGTTCTTTCTGCTCTTGAAACGATGTTTATTGTTTTTTCTTTTTATTTTATGTATTACAATAAAATGTATGTAAATAGATGCTATTTCGATATTTAGGTTCGTAAAAAGGTTTTTCAAACCGCAATAGGTAGAATACAAGGTAAATTGCAAAATCAGTTTGTTGTGCAGACTACTAGCAAGAATCAATCATTTCGAGAAATCATTTTTATTCGTTCCGTTGTATCATGATTTACAGTTTAAATTGTAACTTTAAGGTATTCCTGTGATTATTATATACAAAGAATGAGCAAAAATGTAGAGAAACATTGATTTATTTGAAATGTTAGTGGTGTTCTAGCAATCAATATCAATAAACAAGGAACGTAAATTAATGTATGAACTAAATACATGCTACTAATGTAGAAGAATAGTACATCCAAATACATATACAGATTGTTCATTTTTGTTTTTTTTTTTTATAAGTCAGTTCCTCAAGAGTAGATTATACTGCAAAAATAATACGGTAAAATCAAACGCAAATTAGAAAACACATCAACTATCAAATTATAACACTCTGGAATGTGCTGTTAGTTTGGAATATATTCCATAGGTAGCATGTTTTAGAAATTCGATCAAAACCCAGTGTATTGAACAAAACAAATTACGCACTAGCAAACATTGTCGAAAATTTCAGGATAAAAACCAAGCAGTTTCTTGACGCAATTTTCTCACATGTTTTCCGTTCCTAATAATACTGGATAGCAGTCACATGGGAACGTTTATTAACTTATTGAAACTGCATCATCTATTTCACTTCGAAAAGTGTATAGGTCCTACCTAGCAAAGAGTGGCAAATTAAACGATTTATGTTAGGAAACCTTCCTTGAAGCGAGCATCCTTGAACACATTTATTTTAGAATGCAGCACTTGGATCAACCAACTATACTAAGGAACAACTGCCTTTAAATCAATTCAAATGGTGAAAATGGATATTAAGAAGTAACTCTGTTTAGACCACGTGGTGCACACAAAAGGATACTAAATTTGGCTGATAATCCGAGCGATCTAGCGAAAAGGAGCATTTTTGATGAACGAAGGCTGCATTGCTGAAATATTTTTTTTTAAATCGGATAATAGTTTTTGATGATTTACACTTCGCGCTTTCAATTTTCGGATGAATGTTAAAATGGTTTTGAAAAACCTGTGTTATGTAAATACAAAAGAAATATACATATAAACCAATTTA